TGCAGAGAGATTTCCCAGGTTGAAGTCAAACTAGCATTACACAGTATGCCACAGACAATCTTACGGACTAATAAGGTGGACCTTAGGCCATCACCATCACCATTAGTTCCCTCTCATGATGTGGAATCATGGCCATGATGCTTTCACATACGTTTCCAAAAACCTTACACAGGTGAAAAGTTAAGCAGAGCTACATCTGCATGTTTTATGAGCTCCCTGGTGATTGGAATACTGAAGTGATTCATCACAAATAGCAATTGTTATTATAAATAATGACCTACAGCAGGTGGCAACATCTAACTGAACTTCACTGAGCTTGGAGGATAAGCAGCCTGATTATATTTGGTTGGGAGATCTCCTCAGAATCTCAGGGCTGTAGGCTAGACTAGGAAATTGAAAAATCACCCCGGAAGGCAGCAGTGACAAACTGCTTATCTATAGTTGCTAGGAAAACGACATGGATTGTCCACAGAGTGCTCAGGAGGCGACTCAAGTTAAAGACTTTACTAGAAATAATATTGCACCTGTATATTCTCTTGCTGCTTCCCAAGATTAATCTATCCATGGCTAAACCTTAGTTTATTCAAACCAATATTCTGGGTTGATAAAGCACATGGAAACGTCAACTGATTGCGAGGCCTGCATTCACACAGCACCCCGGGCTAAACAGTGACTGGCTTCTTTGTGGTCCAGCGATGACCCAGCCAGAGTTTTCCATTTGATCTCCTTTCATAATGACTGCAAGCCTCAAAGGAATGATGTCTTGAAGCTGCTGCTGCTGCATTTTCACATCAGTACCACTCTCTAACCCCAACTTGAATGGATGGAAATCTATTCTGACACGATGTTGAACTAAATGAACTTAACTTAATAGAGCCAATTAAATTAATTTAATAGAGCCAGATTGGTCTAGTGATTAAGGCACCAGGCTAGAAAGCAGGAGACTGAGTTCTAGTCCTGCCTTAGGCATGAAAGCCAGCTGGGTGGCTTTGGGCCAGTCACCTGCTCTCACCCCAACTCACCTCACAGGGTTGTTGTTGTTGTGGGTAAAATAGGAGGAACGAAGATTAGATATGTTTGCCACCTTGAGTTATTTATAAAAATAAGAAAGGCAAGATAAAAAATCTAAAAAAAAAAAAAGATAAATCCCAGGAAAGTGTGCTTACATTTGCAGCTTTGGATGCAAAATGCCAGAATAATCTACATCAATTTTGTACAACAACAGTATGCGACCACTGGACATCCTGCTTTGAAAATCACTCATCTTTTCCACAGGTCTTTGCCCCGCCTCCTAACCTGCTCGCAGAAATGACAGCCAGAGAGCAGGTGTTCTTTTACTTAGCCCTCTTTGCGCAATTCCAGCGCTTTGTTCGCTGAATCAGGCCAGCAGTCCTGCACTTGTACTTTCAGAGAAGAGGACCCACTGAACGGCGTCCTTTCTGCTCCAGAGCCCCTGAGAGCAACTCATAAAAAAGCACCTGTGTGGTGGATGCCTTAGCGCCAGCAGGTGGTTTTACGGCGGCGCCTCCGATTTCCCACTGGCAGGAGGAGGAATTCCCAGCAACGCCCCCCTAGGAACATTAGGTAGACCCCCTGGGTTGCTGAAGCAAGGCGAGTTCACAGGAGGACGCTACCACATTCCCAAGTTGCCGGGGAGATCGCGCAAAGAAAGTAAGTTACCGCTCCAGAACGGCAGGTCCGGGAACGGCGGCAGCCCGGGAAAGGGAGGGGACGCGCTCCCCACGGCAACCGAGAGGAGAAGATGTCGATAAAGCGGCTCTCGGGGGGTGGCAGGGCGGGGGCTCTAACTCAGCCCTGCGCTCCGTCTTTCGGGGCTGAGGAGGGCCACTGTGCACAAGCGGCAGTGAGGTAATGCGAGTCTCTGCAGCAACAGCAGCCGCTTTCGAGTCACATGCCCGAACTTTTCCCAACTCCACCCCCTGGCGGCCCTTTCTTTCCCCGGCCCGATTGCCACATCCCGGCCGCGGGGCGGGCAGACCACCCAAACGCAGGCATGGCGGGGGGGGCGGGGAAGCACCGTCCCTGTCCCCGGCTTTCCTCCAAATCGGTGGGTGCGTTATAGTCTCCTTATTAATGCCATTATTGGTAAGTACCGTGGTCTTTCCCCAGCAGAGTCCTGTGGACCCGGAAGGCTTGCCGCGTTGAGCCGCGCAGTCTGAGCAGTCGAAAGTGGTCTCATTCTGAAAAAGTAACTGAGTTCACCCTGCCTTCTGACGCATGGTTTGTTATAGCTGAATGCACACATTTTGTTGAACCTTCACCCACCGTTTAGTTAGCTGATTTGAGTTTGTTTCCCAATTCATTAAAACTCTGGCCCTTCGAATCCCTCTAGATGGCCCATCTGAAGAAGTTCTTAGGATATCATAGGCAGAAAGATGCGAAGAGTTTCTCTAATTGATGGTCTTGTCCAAGCCTGAAGGATCCTAAGAGGTGAACTACTTCTCAGGAGATACATAGACTTGTGAAAAGTGGCTTTTGGTTCTTGCATATCTTAGTTAATTTTAGTTTATTTTATTTTGCAAACTATGCTTAGCCATAAATGAGACAGTTCAAAATTAATACAGTTGTGTGTTTAGTGTATACACTGCTTGTATCAAAGCAGTGAGAGAAAGGAAATTCAAGTAATGCTCTGATGAATTTAATACTATATTTAATTTTACTATTCAAAAATACTGGGAACAAGATTGCTTTCTTAGTTTAATAATGTAACTCTCTGACTACTTATCGAGTGATCATGTAAGACAAAGTCCTCCTTTCCCAACCTGTTTTTCTCTAGAGCCAGGGAACTGCAACATCCAAATTTAGATCCAGGGCACTACAACATCCAAATTTCAAACCAGCACAGTCTGGTTGACATCCAGACAGCACCCAGCTTGGGCAGACTGCTGTCCTTCCTTTCTCCTTACGCATCTCTGAAACATAAAAAATGGTGTGGCCAAACACTCACTTCTACTCTCCTTATTTTCTCTGAAAATGATTCCTTTTATTTTATGAACATCCAGTTGTATACACTCAAAATCTCACAAGCTTTTCTAATTAGCTTAATTAAAGCATCCTCTTAAAAGATATTTTAAAAAATACTAGCAAAAGGAATTCCCCAAGTCCTTGGTTTGTTCCAGAATACTCCCTTCTTTCTGTTGTTCATCACTGTGCTCTGTGAGTTGTCTATAGATCTTCAGAATAAAAGAAGCATGTTGCCCCAAATCAGAGGCCTATTAAACATAATATTTTGGTTTTCACAGTAGGCAGCTCGGAGAAGCATGCAAATAAGGATGAGCAAAACCTTCCATCTGCATCTGTTCTGTACACAGAACACCTACTTTCTGGTGGTCCTTGTCTGGACTGGAACAAGGACTTCTTAATAGAAGTGTTGCGAAGGAAGGGAGTGGGAAGAAGACAAGCACTTTGTCAGCAGCCAAGAGGTGGTAAAGAAGGAAGATGCTGGAAAGATTGGAGGGCAGCTGGGCCAGTTGGATGGCCACCATGGTTCTGGTCTGCAAGTCTGCCCACCACCTGATATTCCCAGCCCTTCCCTGCATCTGTTTAGCTGCTGTTGATGTCATTGAAATCAAGCCTGTAATAAGGGAAAATAAGGAAAGGGAGATCTTGGGAAGCCCAGGTGGACTGGTTGGATATGCCTTGGTTAAGTCAAGGATTTCACTGGTAGCAAAGAGAAGTGAAAGAAAAGTGCTGGGAGGATCAAGGGGGTGCCAGCTGGACAGCCATTGCCACTGGTTTCAAGAACACTATTTCCAACCAATCCACCCACCAACTGATCTTTCCAGGTCCTTCCTGTCCCTACTTCCCCTTAGCTGTCACCAGTTAATGTCTTTGGTTTCAAGCATGGCTTAAAGTAGGGAAAGGAAGAGGCAAGTGAGCTGGTGTCCAGGCCATGTGGAAGGAGTGAGAAGAGTGAGGTGCACCAGCCTTGCCCTACTCATCCCATAAGACAACTCTGAAGACTGTCTTGGCTGAAATTTAGAACCACCCAAGTGTTCCATATTTCGGTTCATCTGAACTGCAAGCCCCCAGGAATGCTTTGGAGACACATTGTTTTGTGTTCCCACCTAATTACAAGTAATGGCTCCTTTTCTCAAGTACCGTAAGTGGGACAAAGACACCATAAGTGGGTACTGAGAGCCTTATCCTCCATGTAGGTATCAAATCCTCCTTTAAAAATGCTCCAATCAGTACTATACATAATACTCAAAACGTAGTTTTTTCATAGGTATGTATAAAGGCACAGATCTGTGTAAATGTGGTATAGTATTTACAAATTTACCTCATCGGGGTATCTGTATATTCGTCAGGAGATTGCTTTATTTTTGCCTCAGTGTGTATCACTTTAGGCTGACAAATATTAAACCAGTTATTAAATTGTCTGTTCAGTTTAGAGAGCTCCTTTTAGAGTCTGCTTTTAATGCTCTGAATTATTTGTTGTTATCAGCAAATTTGATCACTACAATGTTCATACATTCCAGAGCACGTAAAATACTCCCAGTCCTCACTTGGACCCCATGGGCACCTCCATTGTGAGAACTGCCAATTATTTTTACATTCTGTTTCCCGTTCTTCAGTTGGAAGTTTAGAAGAGGAGCTCTCTACAACTTCGTGAATTTGTTGTGGAATTTGTTATGAGGGACCTTCTCAGAAACCAACTTTCTTAAAAGTTCAAGGCTGAGTTTGCGAGGGTAAAACGGTGCTGGCAGCTTAATGGGCGCTGTAAACACAACCAGTGTGACTAATGTATGGTTCAGTGTGATGGGCAAACTCAGGCATATGGATTAATAATTAATCATGATCAAGTAAATCGTGGGATAGCTTGACATGTGAACACAGACCAAGTGTGTGTCTGCTGAATCCTCTGTTTCCATATGCTTGTTGACAATCTCAAAGAACTATATAAAATGATGCTGAGATAGGATTTCCCAGACTATCCCTTCTTTATCGTTAACAATGTTATTATAAATAATGCTTCACCAATATTTCACTTGAACCAGACAGAATTTGATACAGATATATATAAATGGAGATAAGATAGAGATAGAGATGAGATAGACAGAGATAGAGGTGAGTTGTATTAGCTGGTTTCCAGGCCTCTGTTCCAGAGACTAGTTTTATGGAGAAGTTACATATGTCATTTAAAAGATTCAAAACTTTACATTAAAAAAAAATCTTGGGTGACACCACCCAATCCTCATGATTATTAAATATGCCTAAAACTTCGCATTTATCACCACTATTTGTCCCGGTTTGTCTGACTCTCTCCCTAAAAATATAAATTCAGGCAGATATATTTGTCTAAGCTCCTAATCAAGACTTAATCGTCATTTAGTACAGTATCTTATTTCTTGGCCAACAGTCTGATGGGATGGACTTGGTTCTTCTGGCATCTAACTTCGTGGCGATACGGTCAATGTCTGTAGTCCAAGACTTGTCTTCCTCCTTTCTGTTCTCTCTCGAGCAAGATTTCCATTTTCTAAAAGCGAGCCTTCTTGCATTTAATAGCTTCGTTTTCACCGTCTTGGATTTGGTGACACTGTACAAATTCTTCCCTGACCTGACCTGCAATATGCAACTTTGGTGCCGAAAGACGGAGGGTACGATAGTCACCTACTCGGCAGCGCACTAAGGGCATCTCCAAGACCTACCTATTTCCGCTTGGTATACAGCAGGTCTCCAACCCTACCGTTCCCTGATCGCGCCCTCCCTTTCTCTACCAAACAACCTCCTCCGAAAAGAAGGCAGACGCGAAGCCCGGGAGGGAGCTTCAGACGCGGCTACTGAGCATGCTCGGGTAAATGGAGCATGCTCACTTTCTTCCAGGAACGGAGGTCGAACGAGCAACATCGATGGTTGGGGGGAAAGCCATGGAAGGTGGAAAGAGTCGCTGCGGCTGGAGGGGGGTTCCCTTTTCCTTCGTTCTGGGCTTCGTCCTCGCGCTAGCCCCGCCGGTTGCCCAGAGCCGGAGTCTCCGCTTCGTTACGTTGGTAAGGAGCCAACAACCTGGGCTGGGCGGGAGGAGGCTAAGTGGAGATGCCGGCGGGTAATCATTTGGATTAAGGCGACACGTCTCAAGGGTTTTGGGAAAACAAAAAAAAGAGGGAAGGAAAAAAATAACCAAGAAGCTAACCGTGAGGTCCGTTTTAAAAGCCTGGCGCCTTGTAATCCGGCAGAAAAGCGCTGCTGCCCCGTCCAGCCGCTTTTGCGGCACCGGGAGTGTGCATTGACTGGGCTACGTCCTGCCTTTTCCTTGCAGGTTGCGGGTCTGAGTCGAGGTGAAGTCCCGACTCGACTTGGGTTGCTAGTATTGTTGCCATCCAAACGTTGCAATTCTCCCCGTTTTGCTTGTGGCGGGAGCGTTGGAAGGGAAGGATCCAGGAGTGACTGAAAGGAGCAGAGGGGGGAGAGGGCGTTCGCCCGGCACGGCTATCCCCGGATAATGACAGCAGCCCCGCGCGCCTTTGGAGCCAAGTAACGTTCCCCAGTCCTTCCTGGCCCAGACTCAGCTGGAAACAGCCGCCGGCGTGTGCTCGGGCTACCCAGAACGTGTATTTCTGGTTTCCTCCAGCTGTATCGTCATGGAGATCGCTCTCCCGTCAAGGCATACCCCCGAGATCCCTATCAAGAAAGCGCCTGGCCCCAGGGCTTTGGACAGCTGACTCAGGTGGGACTCCCAGGAAGAAACTGCCAGTGGGACCTTAAAGCTCAAGGGAAGTACTTTCTTGAAACGGGGGGTGAAGAACAATTGCCCTGTCAACGCGGGCCCCCCCTTTTTTTTTTAAATAGAAATCAGGGCACTTGTAGCAACAGTTTGACATTTCCTTGTTTGTTGTTTTTTCCCCCTTTTGGTGCGGGAGTGCTGTTTTTATTCAACTTTCCTGTTTTCTTTGCTCTCGCAAGAAGCAGTCGTACCTCTCACAATCTAAGGAGGGGATTGTTTGTTATAATTAGCTGATCCTTTTAAGTTTATTTTATTGTAACAACAACATACAATTTAGAAAAAGGGGACAGGGAAAGAAGAAAGGCATTTGAGGAGAGGGGTTGTTTCCTCCATTTCAGGAAGTTGTTTTGTTCACAGTTCTTGCACTGAGAACATTCGAGCTGTAAAGTGTTCTTTCACTGTGTGGTGTTTTGTGAAATCACAGTCACACCTGCTTTACTGTTAATTTGTCGCCACTGATATGCCTAGGAAGGAATGCAGCAACAGTGGGACCTGGGCCAAGCTCTTCGCAGGCGTTACTATGGATTCCTGAATGTTTCATACAATAGACAAGAGGTTGGTGGATTCCATATTGCTAGTGGTATCAGTATAACATACTCTTTTTTTTTACTATTTCTTACTCCTTCTCTGCACTTTGCATAACATTGCATTACTCCAAAAGGGAAGAGCATGATAGATATGCATGGTGATTTTCTTTTTTGGTTTAATCTGTTATATGAACCTTCATTATACTGCAGAAAGGCACTGAGTGACGTGCCACAAGGATCAGGCTTAAGTCAATATTCGTATAAATGTCTCAGATGAAGAGATGGAAGTAATGCTTATCAGTTTTACAGATGACACAATATTGGGTGGGTTAGTACCCTAGAAGACAGAAATAAAATTCAAAATAATCTTGATAACCTAAAGAAATGAGCTGAAAGTAACACATCTAACAAGGACAAGTGTATAGTTCTTCACTTAGGAAACTGAAATCATATGTACACATATAGCGTGGAAGACATCTAGCCTTGATAAGAGTGTTTGTGAAAAAAAGTTTGGAAAAATAGATTTGGAAACTGAGTTTAATCTAGCAATGCAATGCGGCTGCAAAAATTGCAAATCCAATATAGGTTGTATCAACATAAATATAAATACAAATCATTGGAACTAATCATTCCACTTTATTCTGTTTTGATTGGACCCTACCTTGAATACTGAGTCCAGTTCTGGGCACCACTTTAAGAAGGAATCAGAGAAATCTGAACAGGTTCAGAGAAGAGCAATGAGGATGATCCGGATTAGATCCTTCTTTTTTTTTTTACAAGAACTTTATTATAGAACTTTATTAAGTTGTAAAAAGCATAAAGGTAAAAGCAAACAAGAACTAATAATTGAGGAAAAAAGTAGAGAACAAGAGAGTTGGAGACAGAGAAAGAATACAAAAGTGATGGAAAGTAAAAGGAGGGAAAAAATTACAAATTACACATTACCTACAGTGGAAACTACCTACAATGGAAGAACGGATGGTGAAGATGATGGAGTTAGCTGAAATCACAAAATTGATAGCTTTGCTTAGAGAAAAAAACATTGACTAATGCCAGTTGGAAGCCCCTTTTGGACTTTTTGCAGGAGACAGAAAAAAATGAAATAAAAATATGGATTTGATGATTAGTTAAATTAATAGATTATGCAAAATATGTATGTTAAGATGTAGTTTTAGAGTAAGAAGTTATTATATGATTTATCTATATCTGCTGTATAAGAAGTCGGAAGCTGTTATTTTTGTAGGATTAGAACCTAAATCCTATGAGGAAAGACTGAAGTGGGTATTTGCCTTGGGAAAAGATGATTGAAAGGAAATACAGCACTCTTCACTTAACTGAAGGAATGTCACACGGAAGCTGGTTAAGATCTGTTCTCTTTCATCCTAGGATTCAGAATAGCACTGAAATTTTAGAAAAGCAGATTCCAGCTGAGTATTTAAAAACACTTCTTAATAATGACAGTGGAACCAATTACTCAGAGAGCTCCCCCTGATTAGCTGTGTTAGGCAGGGAACACATCATCTGTATGACATGCTTTAATTGGATTTTTTGCACTGAGCAGGGGATTGCACTCAAAGGCTTCAAGGTCCCTTTCCAATTCTATCATTATTACCGAATTATTGTTTATTCAGTACAATATTTCACTTATTTAAATTAAATAAACCGAGTCTTAGAATGAGTTTAATCCAATTTTATGTGACATCCAAACTAGCCAATGTGAAGCATTATGAGACACTGACCAGTTCTTAGAACTTTAATAAAAGTCACATTGAGTCTAAACTGACTGCAGCTTATCCTCACATATTGGTAAAACCCATCCTGTCCCATCCCTCCTTCCTTCATTTTTGATGCCTCTTAGAATGATATGCTGCCAATCTTGCTACCTGCATGTAACTTTACATATTACAAAGGGAAAAGGGAAGTTCTCAATTGCCTAGCATCATGTTTTTTTTTTCCCCCTGCAGTAAAATTATATCTGATTTACTGAGGAAAACAGTAGCAATTGAAGGAAGGAAGGAAGGAAGGAAGGAAGGAAGGAAGGAAGGAAGGAAGGAAGGAAG